AGCCTTCCTGGGACCCCTCCCTTTGCCCTGCGCCTTGTCTCTTTGCTTCCACTGTGCTTCTTCCATAGGACCCGGATGTCATTGCTTGGCTATTGTTGGCTTCTCTGTACCCCCGAGTGCAGAGAGGCTGTCCTTTCCTCCTCGTCTCCTCGGCACTGATGGGTGCTCCGTGTTTATCTGTGGCATGGCTCAATTAAATACACAGGAAACATCCTTTCTGAGAGCTCTGGAGGAGGATCCATTGACTTTGGGGCATTGACTGATTAGTTTCCCAACAGAAAATCCTTGTGTGTAACCTACCAGGTTAGTGTCATTGATAACCAGCTCAACCTGGTTCATTTTCATTTTTAGGAGGAAGTGCCCTTTCCTGCCCAGTCATCAAGGACAAAATGATACTGAGTCAGAGAGAATTTCTTCCCTCAGGAATGTGAGCCTGGAAGGAGTCAGGGGTGTGAGACAGAGAGGGTTGAATTGCTCCCTCCCCCAATCCTATGTTAAGTCCTAACCCCTAGTACCTCAGAATGGGACATTACTTGGAAATAGGGCTATTGCAGATGTAATTAGTTATGATGAGGCGACACTGGAGTAGAGTGGGCCCCAGTCCAACATGCCTGGCGTTCTCATAGAAAGGGGAAATCTGACACAGATGCACATGCCGGGGGACACCATGGGAAGTACTGGAGTTAAGTGCCACTAGCCAAGGAACTCTCAAAAGCTGGAGAGGGGCCTGGAGCAGGTTTTCCCCTAGCACCTTCAGAGGGAGTGTAGCCCTGCCAACACCTGGTCTTGGACTTCTAGTTTCCAGAACTGTGAGACAATATGTTTCTGATGGTTTAGTCATTCAGGTTGGTAGTATTTTGTTATAGCAGCTTTAGCAAACTAATACAGAGGATGGGACCTGGATGTTTATTGTTCCTTGCCATCTGTTGACTACTTTCATTACTGCCTTCATAGTCTATGAGGTGCTATGGTTCACTTTTCCTAGTGAAGATTTTCCCTGAAGTATTGTGTTGTTCTGTCTAGTCTTTGGTGGTAACCACACAGAGCAGCAGTTGCAACAGAACCTGAAAATCCACATTGTTTTGTTTGTTTGTTTTTGAATCAGGGTCTTATTCTATTGCCCAGGCTGGAGTGCAGTGACACAATCACAGCTCACAGCAGCCTCGACTTCCTGTGCTCAGGCCATCCTTCCGCCTCAGCCTCCCAAGTAGCTGGGACTACTGGTACACGCTACCACACCTGGCTAATTGTTTTTTGTAGGGACATGATCTTGCTATGTTGTCCGGGCTGGTCTTGAACTGCTGAACTCAAGCTTTCCTCCCACCTTGGCCTCCCAAAATGCTGGGATTAGAGGCGTGGGCCACTGCACCCTGCTGAAATCTGTTTTTCTATGTGAAATCTCCTGTATTTTATTTTATTTTTATTCATTTACTTTTTGAGCTGGAGTGCAGTTGCATGCTCATGGCCACCATAGCCTCCACCTGCTGGGTTCAGGTGATCCTTCCTCCCCAGCCTTCCAAGTAGCTGGAACTACAGGCATTTGCCACCACGCCCAGCTAGTTTTTGATTTATTGTAGAGATGGGGTCTCATCAAGTTGCCCAGGTTGGTCTCAAGTCCGTGGGCTCAGGCAATCACCTTGGCTTCCCAAAGTGCTGAGATTATAGGCATGAGCCACTGCACCTGGCCAAAATCTCCTGTCTTTTAAATGTTGGCAATATTTTAAAACAGGTGCTGAACAAACAAAATGCTTCTGTGAGGCTGTCTGTTTACAATCTCCGCGTTCATGAAATAATGTTGTCAGAGGTTTTGTGAAGGGAGAAAATCAGGGAGAGGAACTGACTGACAATGATACCAGTCAACATTTACCAATCACCTTTCTGAATGCTTTACCTATGTTATCATGTTTAAGCCTTATTAGAACCTTGTAAGGTGTGCTCTATGATTGTCCTATTACAGAGGAGGAAACTGAGTCACAGAGGGCTCACTCCCTTGCCCAAGGTCACACAGCTAAGTGGTAGTGCCAAATCCAAACCTCAGGGCTGTCTGGTTCCAGGGCACACACACCTTCCGTTCGCTGGCAGGCTCCTTCCAGTCCTGGTGTGTGGTGAAGGGAGAGGCCGTAGGAGTGGAGAAGCCCAGGGGCTGGGTCTGAGAGATGATTGCAGTGACTTGTGTGTCACTGGGACCCACTTGGGAGCTTTTGTTTTTATGTGTGTTAAGGACAGGGCTTCTATGCACCCTGAGCATAGGTTCGGAACCAACCAGGCACTCAAGCTTTGTGGGGATGTGAAGGGACGTTCCTCGCAGTGGTATTTACAGCTCGTTGCCTGGCAACAAAGGAACTATTTTGTTCTAGCTGACGATGCCATTCACCAACAACGTGCGACGGTCAGGCAGTGGAAGTGACACGTGACACGCAGCGCTCTGCCTCTGCCAGCCTGGCTGCTCTGGTTCCAGCTCAGCGGCACAGGTGATGGCTTGGGGGTGATGATGAGACATTCGGTGGGGGTGGGCGGCAGGTGGGGGTTGGAAGCAGGCAGCGGCACATCATCAGGGGAGAAGGTCCAGGAAGGCAACGCTAGGTGTCACTGATCACAGTAGGGAAGAGCCAATTGCTAGGCTGAGCCAGGAGAAGGTGTTTCCTGTAGGGTCTTGGTTGAGGCTGGAGTTAAGGTCACCCTGGGAAGTTTGTGGGTATCTTGGGGACATATGATGGGCATCTCAGCTCAGATCTCCCATTTCTAGAGACTACTGCCCCTCTCCATACTCAGGCATCCACTGGTAGCCATGTTTAGTGACATAATCCCACCCCCTCTTTCCACCCTGGATTGGCCAAGGGTGGTCTCATTTAAGTAGGGCCAACCAGAGACCACTGGGGTCTTTTGAGAGAGATCGAGAGACAAAACCAAATGATGCACAGAAAATGTGTCTACAGGACCAGGCAGGGTGGCTCACACCTGTAATCCCAGCATTTTGGGAGGCTGAGGTGGAAGACTCTGAGGCCAGGAGTTTGAGACCAGCCTGGGCAATGTAGCGAGACCCCATCTCTAAAAAAAATTAGCTGAGCATGGTGGTGCACACTTGTAGTCCCAGCTACTCAGGAGACTGAGGAAGGAACCCTTGAGCACAGGAGTTCAAAGCTGTTGTGAGCTGTGATCGTGCTACCACACGCCAGCCTGGGTGACAAAACAAGACTCTGTATCTAAAAAAAACCGAAACATGTCTCCAGGATAATATGAGTGCCAGAGATAAGAGACAGAAAGTTTTCCTGGGGTCTGCAGGACTCTCAGCTCTAATTCTTTCCAAACCCCATTGTATCTTCTGTCCAGATCTGTGCTTTTCTATCTGGATCTAGCTGGAAAACACATGTTCCGTTTTGCTTTAGCTGCTTGAGTTGGTAACTATTACGGGTGACCAAAGGTGTGTTCATCTGTTAGGAGGGGTTGACGTGTGGGTGCTTTCGGCTCTCAGTCAACTCCTGGTTTGGGAGACCATGAGCGGGCTGGTGTGGGTTGGCCTCCGGGCAACGCAGGAAGCCCGGGGGTCCAGGCACTGAACCACATCTGCCCTCTCCTCTCTCTGCTCGTGAAGAGGTGCTGTGTTCCATGGTTGTTGCCCAGATGCTCTAAAGCCAGCAGGGGTGGCTGGCCTCCTGGAGGCTGGTGCACGATTTGTGCTGAATCAGCAGCAACTTTGTGGCCGGGGCTGACCACCAGAATGCCTTGGAGTGAGGCAGGTGGGTGGGGGCCGTGCAATAGGGTGGAATAAGGGCAGTAGCATCCGGGGAGACCTTGAACCTTCGAGAGACCCTGGGGTGGAAGTCATACAAATGTTTTTGTTAGGCTGGGCACAGTGGCTCACACCTGTAATCCCAGCACTTTGAAGGCCAAGACAGAAGGATTCTTTGAGTCTAGGAGATTGAGACCAGCCTGGACAACACAGTGAGATGTCGTCTCTATAAAAAAAAAAAAAAAAATCAGCCAGCTGTGGTGGTGCACGCTTGTAGTCTCAGCTACTAGGAAGGCTGAGGAGGGAGGATTGATGGAGCCCTGGAGATTGAGACTGCAGTGAATCATGATTGTGCCACTGCACTCCAGTCTGGATGATAGAGTGAGACCCCCGACTTAAAAAAACAGAAACAAAAACGTATATTGTCACCAGAGTGATGTCACTTTGTGGTCAGGTGGGCCAGAACGCCAATTTTTACCACCACTTCTAGTGTATGTTCCTGGGTAAGTCATTTAACCTCTCTAAGCTCTAGCGTCCTTGGGAAAATACACCCACCTCACAGAGCCCCATGAGAGAGAACTTGCACCGTGCTCAGCACAGGTCCCACCTGGTGTGTGCACAGGATTACACATGAGGAGAAAAAGACCCGAGGAAGCTGTGGGACTGTGTCTCTGCGACCAAGGGAGGTGCAGACACTCAAACACAGTTGACAAACACTTCCCTGGACCTGCCTGGACATGGTGGGAAGGATCACACTCACAGTAACTGGAGTGACACTGAGTGGCTTCTCCTGAGAAGCCAGACCCTGTTCTAGGGACTCTGGGTGCATTAACTGATACTCTCAGCTCTGTGGTGGTAGGTTCTGTTTCTACGCCCATTTTACAGATGAGGAAACGGAGGCATCAAGCGCCCAAGGTCACACAGTCAGCAATGGGTGGGGCTAGGCTTTGAGCAAAGACAGTTGGAGTCAGCAAGTGACCCCAGGAGCAGGCAGGACAGGTGTAGACATGCATCGCCTCCTAAGATGACAACTGGCTTCCCGTGCTGTCAGGTCGGGGCTCTTAAGTCTTCTGTGCTTAACAACAGGTTCCATTGATGTCCCCTGCCCCTATAGGACCCTCCCCCTTTAAACCAAGGAGCTTTGACAGGTTCCAAATTACACACCGACTCTCAAAAGACAAAAACAGGTGTTTGAGGTCTTTCCTGGAGCTGCTGAGGTCTCCCCCTTCCCAAGACATTCAGTGGCTGCCAGAAAAGCCCTGGGACCACCCTAAAGCGATCGCCTCTTTTTCAGTAACATGTTGTCCTTTAGAAATATCTTGATGGCCTCTGTGAAGTTCTCTAAATCAGGGACAGTCAAGAAATTCAGAATCCTACTCATTTTCCCCAGAAGGATCTGGATCTTCTGAGCCGTTGGGCCAGGTTCCACCTCCAGGATTGCTTTGTTCTTCATTTTACTCAGCACTTCCGGCCTTATAAACTGGGGGATTCACAGAAGGTCAGTGAGGATAAGTGCTGCACAGGCGCCATGCCCTCCACCCCAGGGCTAGCCCCCCCACATGACCCCGTCTTTCCTGAAGCCTTCACCCTGGAGAGCAGGTCGGTGTTCCCAGCCCTGCCACCTGCGCCCTTCCTGCTGCTCCACAGATATACACACTCAGCCTGTGCTCGTGGTCATGTGGACTGTGGTGCTGTGGGGTGATGCCACACTCCAGCCTGGTCCCAAACCAGAGGGCAAACAGCTGCGGCGATTTGGTGTGGCCTCCCTTCCCAAGGTTGTGCTCTCCTGGGGTGCCTGGCTTCTCCCAGGGGTTCCCCGGCACGGGGCTTGGTGGAGGTCAGAGCTGGGCCACCTTGCATGGCTGCCTGCAAGTCCCTCCTCTACCTTGGGCTTCCTTGGAGTGTATCTGGGTTTTATTGGGATGGGCTGTGCCCCAACCTTCTGCTTTGGTTTGCAGCCTACAGAAGACCGAGAAAAGAGTCTCTTGAAGGAGGAAATAATAAATGACGCTACCCAGACGTTCTGTTTCTATGAGGTAACCAGCTTATGAAATGTCGTCATACAAAGTGTCTTGTTGAAGCCATAAGCAGGACTGGGTGTGGTGGCTCATGCCTATAATCCCAGAACTTTAGGAGGCCAAGGTGGGAGGACTACTTGAGCCCAGGAGTTCCTGATCAACCTGGACAACAAAGTAAGACCCTGTCTCTACAAAAATAAAAATGTTAGCTGGGCGTGGTGGCACGTTCCTGCAGTCTCAACTATTCAGGAGGCTGAGGTGGAAGGATCACCTGATTCCAGGAGGTGGAGGCTACAGTGAGCTAGGATCGGGCCCTTGCACTCTAACCCGGGAGCAAAGTGAGGTTCTATGGCTAAGAAAAAAATAAAAGCCATATAGCAACCTGTGTTCATCTTACAGAAGACCACGGGCTCAGGCCATGAATTAGCATCACTCAGGAAGTGGAGGGGCACATTCTTTCCTGGACATGCAGCTGCCCAGCCTGGGTTGACTCTGCTGATGCTGTGTCTGGCACTGTCTCCTTCGTTTGACTCTGACTAATTACACTGGTGCTGATTCGCTTCATTTGGGACCTGCCCTCGGGCAATCCACTTCCCGGGGCTGTCAGGCCCCAGGGTCTCTCTGTCCACATGGGCCCTTGGTGTGCCCTCACTGGGCATGCCCCCCTGGCCCTCCTCCCACTGTCATTCAGAGCCCCAACTGGTCACTGCTGTGGCAGGTGTGCGAATGGCCATTCAGGATTGATGGTGCTGCCTCCTCTTCACTGAGGTGGAAGGTCAGGGAAATCTGGGGTAGGCGAGGACGTTGAGACATTGTTATTCAGCCTGTAAAACAGCAGGCCCTGCAAACAAGGCGAGCTCAGGGACCAGCTGGCTGGGACTGCTTGGAACTTTCCCAGTTTTAGCACTCGGAGTCTCATGTCCTGAAAAACTCCTCAGTCCCAGGCATGCGAAGGCAGTTGGTACTGCGTTCCCCCTCCCCCTTTCAAGTCATATTCGTACTACTTAATTTTGCCAGACTCTGCTATTTGGCTGTCTCCTCCATCAGCGACTTTCTGCCTCACTCTCAGTGGAGGCAATCCTGTCAGTCTCCCCAGAAGGTCCCGCCTCCAGAGGCCTTGAGTGCCTCTCTGGGAGTATGTAAACGGAGTCTTCTATGTGGAATGGGCAACTGGAGCAAGAATAGGGACTTGTTTAGTCCTCACTGGTGTGCCAAGGACACGCTCATTCCCCAGGAAAGGTCTCAAGAGCCCACCTTCTTCCACCACCACAGTCAGAACTCTGGGGTGTCCAGCCTCACCATTTGGAGTAGGTTGAATTGTGTCCCCCAAAAGATACCTTCAAGTCCTAACCCCACTACCTGTGATGTGGCCTTATTTGGAAATGGTGTCTTTGCAGATGTGATCGAGTGAAGGATCTCCAGGATACACTCATCCTGGTTTTAGGGTGGGCTATAAAACCGGTGACTGGTGTACTAATAAGAGAAAGGAGATTTGACAGGGACACACAGAGGAGAAGCGTTGCAAAGACAAAGGCAGAGACTGGAGCGATGCAGCCATAAGCCAAGAGCCAAGGAAAGATCCTCCATTAGAGTTGGCGGGGATGGTGGCTCCACTGACCCCTCAATTTCAGGCTTTTAGTCCCAGAACATGAGAGAATACATCTCCCAGCTCATGACAATTTGTTACAGCGGCTCTAGGAAACACATACACCTCTGTCACGTTCCTGCTCAGCCTGGGCGGTGTGCTCCAAACCTACAGGTGACCATTTGTTTTGCGAGGAAAGAAGAGGACACAGTGACAGGGTTGAGGACACAGATGTCCATCCCTCTTGTTTCTTGCCCTGCCTTCCAACAGGGCTGCTGTGAGTGTCGAGTGAGACACTACTTGTTGACGTCTTTGGATTTTTTTGTAGCTCGAAGGCTGAGCTCTTTGAGGACGCTCTTCCTCAGAGCCCAATGCATGGGGCTGAGCTGCGTCTGTATATGGTTATGTGTCAGGTCAGTGAAGGTGGCCATGTTTTTCTACAGGTTGTTGTGCTACAGATGGGCCCCCGAGGCTTGTGGCATGGGCCAGTCCAAGCCAGAGCAGCCTGTGTGCAGGTAGAAGGTGTGGGGAGTCGAGACCTTACCTTGTACCTGGTACCCAGGTTCAAACAAATTCGCTTCTTTTTGTGGGTGAAGCAGAAGATGATCTTATCCTGGCTCCTTATTTGCACCTGAATGTACCGGTTGATTTTCAAGGAGATGGGCTGAACAGGGGGCGCGTGGACATGTATGCTCAGATCCCACCAGTTCCAGGCCTTCGGGCGCTGGCCTTTGGCGAAGTAGAAACCCAGGTTGAAGCTCAGGCTTAACCTAGAGCAAGAGAAGGTGCACCAGGCAGCTCAGTGCTCAACCCCACGCCCCTCCACCCCTACCTCTCTCCTCTTTCCGTCTCCTCCTTTGGCTGCAGAGTGGCTTGTATGGTCTTGGTGGTGGGAGAAGTTCCAACATCGATGGCCAACTAGTGACTAGATGGGCACTGTCCTCAGGCCCGGTGTGTCCCGCTGGCCCCATTGCATGGCCCAGCCCCTCCCTCCCTCCAGTTCCTGACTGGAGTGGGTTTTCTCCTCATGCTTTGTCATGCCCTTCTCTCTGCCTACAAAGGCACACTGACCCGACGTGGCACTGAGCTGTACCCCCTCCCTGGGGTTAGAGGTTTGGCTCTGGGCTGAGGCTGTCTTGGGAAGATGGATCTAGAACACCCAGAAATGGTCGGAATTGGGAGGCTCTTGCTCAGGGCATCTGAAGACCCTGACCTGTGGAGTGGGTGGAACCCGCCCACCCAGGACCCTGAGATGAGGCAAGTTTGGGGCCCCTTGCTGTGTGGGACACCTGAAGCCAGGGGAGCTTGGTCTGAAACTCCTCGGCTGTGAGTGGGGTTAGGGCTGGGTTTTAGTTTCCACATACCTGGCAAACGACAACCATGCCCTCTACCTTCCTTGAGAAAAGCAGGGAGGGCGGGGGGTGGGGGGAGAAATGACCCAAGAAGTATTCAGGCCTTGGAACTTTTTGACTCTAACTCCTTCTAGAGACACCATGGAGGAGCTCTCTGTCGGTGCTGAGGAAATGTCTAGCAGTTAGGGTCTGGGCCTTGGCCTGTCAATTTTGTGTTCCCAAATGACTAGGAGGGTCTTTTCCACCCTAATAATAGAACTGTAGTTTTGATGATGAATTCCCTCAGGGAGCAAGTCCTTCTATGGGTCACATTTTTCTCTGATGCAGCTGCCCCTGGGAAGGAACCAGCTTTGGGGTGAGGGAGCCCATTCAGGGAGAGGGTCTGGCCCTGTGGTATGACTTTTGGGGGGTGATGGTTGCAGTGGGGGAGGGATACAAGTGGACAGTCTGTCTCTCATCTGATGCCTGGGTGCAGAGAGGCTGGACCTGCTGGGTGGTCTACTTGGCTACCTGCCCAGCACCAAGAACAAAGGGCAAGAAAAATGGCAGGGTCATCACTGGGGAGCTTCTCCCCAGTGGGTCTGCTGAGAGCGGGAGAGGCAGGAGCTTCTGGGAGGACAGACAGGGGCCAGGCAAGGGGATTAGAGTGGAGGGGAGGGTGGGTGTCCTGGGTCCTGGCTTCTGGACTGGTTGGTGGTCAGGACAATGCACAGGCCATTTGCTCAGACTTATGAGGCCCACTCTGAGCCTAATGGCTGGCTTTGAACCATGAAAAGCCTCCCGACTGTAAGCCACCTTGTTTTCTCCAGCTGAGGAGCTCAGTGTTAGGAGGGAAAGTTGCTGGTATTCCTCCCGCTCTTGAAAATGCATGCGTCTGAACAATGATAATGCTATGAGAAAGCGATTGGCAGTAGTGGGAAACTGCCGGGTGGGGTGGGAGGGGGTTGGCAGTTAAGGGAAACTGCTAGGGGACGGAGGGGCATACCTCATCAACAAGGGTACCTGCATGATCAATGTTTATATACCTAACCCTGAAATGTACCCCACATCTTTATAATAAAAAGTTAAAAATAAATAAGTAAAAAAGAAAATGCATGCATCAAAGTTCCCACAGTTTCTGAAATTCTCCCAAAGGCAGAAAGGCAGTAAGTCTCAAGGAATGGGATAGGGAATTGGGAATTTAGGGAGCCCTGGGCCAAGGACTGACCAGAGGCTAGTGCCCTAGGTCTAGACATGAGACTGTTCTGGGGAAGAGAGACTTTAAGCCATGAGTCGCTGCTGTCCCCAGGACGGGACACCTATCCATTTCCTCAAGAAGTTGAACCCTTTCCAGAGTCCCAGCATCGGTCTGGGGTGTAAGCACACTGGGCCACCCACTCCTGTCTTGATGGGAAGACCGAGGTGAGGCTCTCTGTGGATTTGAGTGAGGGGCTGTGAATCCTTCTTTATCTTACAACCCTGAGAGGACGCCATGCCCCTGGGAGACAGAGCAATTGCTGTACTTTTTGTAGCCTTAAAGGCACATTGGAGGGCACTCTGGCCTGGGCGCAAATACAGGGCTGACCCGCAGAATGACCTGGAAAGTGCTGAAAGAATGTCCATCTCCAAACTCTGCCTGAGACCTACAGAATCAGAATCTTGAGGATCAGCATTCAGGGATCATCCTTCTCTTTGGATTTTGACTGGTGGAGATTCAGGAATGAGCTGTGGTACTTCATGTGTATCTTATTTGGTGATTTTTAAAAAATGCTTTATCAGCCGGGCTCGGTGGCTCAGCCTGTAATCTCACACCTTTGGGAGGCTGAGGTGAGTGGATTGCCTGAACCTGCGGGTTTGAGACCTGCCTGGGCAGCGAGACCTCATCTCTACAATAAATCAAAAAATCAGCTGGGCGTGGTAGCGCATGCCTGTAATTCCGGCTACTCAGAAGGCTGAGGCGGAAGGATCGCTGGAGCCCAGCAGTTCGAGGCTGCGGTGGCCGGGAGCGGCCACTGCACTCCAGTCTGGG